CTTTAAAGAAAACAAACTAAGTGCATCCAGCCTCTTTTCCAAGCTAAAATGCTGCAAGGCCCAAAACTGCTCACAATATACCAAATTTGAGGGGAGTGGTGGCCTAGTAGTATTATCACTGGGCTATTAATCTAGAGACCCAGATAATGTCCTGGGGACCTAGGTTCAAATCCCACCAAAGGCAGCTGGTGGAATTTGAATTCAGTAAAAAAATCTGGAATTAAGAGCCTAATGATGACCGTGGAACCATTACCGATTATTTGGAAAAATCCATCTGGGTTCAGTAATGTCCTTTAGGGAAGGAAAGTGCCATCCACTTGGTTTGGCCTATGTGTGATCTCAGATTCACAGTGATATGGTTGACTCTCAGCTGCCTGATGGGCGATAAATACTGGCCTGGCCAGTGACGTTCACATCCTGTGAATGAATTAACACAAAAATGCAGTCTGACCAGAGCCTTATACAGCCTCGGCAGTATATCCCTTTTTTTATTCGAGCCTTCTTAAAATGAATGCCAACATTGCATTTGCTTTCCTAACTGCCAGCTGAACCTATATGTTAACCTCAAGAGAATCCTGAATGAGGACTTATAAATCCCCTTGTGCTTCAGATTTCCAAAGCCTTTCTCCATTTAGAAAATAATCTATGCCTCTATACTTCCTACAAATGTGCACAACCTCACACTTTGCCACATTGTATTCTGTCTGCCACTTATTTGCCCACTCTCCTAGCCTGTTCAAGTCCTTCTGCAGCTTCCCTTCCTCTTCAACACTACTTGTCCTTCTGCCTTTCTTTCTGTCATTTGCAAACTTAGCAACAATGCCTTCAGTTCCTCATTTAGATCAGTAACATATAACATGAATAGTTGTGGTCCCAACACAGATCCCTGTGAAACTCCGCTGGTCGCTGGCAGCCATCCCGAAAAAAGACCCTTTTATACTCACACTCTACCTTCTGCCAGTCAGCCAATCCTACATCTACGGCAGTACCTTGCCACTAACACCATGGGCTCTTATCTTTTTTAGCAGCCTTGCCAGAAGCCTTCTGGAAATACAAATAGACCATGTCCACTGATTCTCCTTTGACTAACTTATTCGTTACCTCCTCAAAGAATTCTGACAGATTTGTCAGGCATGATCTCCCTTGACAAAGCCCTGTTGACTCAGCTATATCTTACCATGCATTTCCAGGTACTCAGTAATTTCATCCTTAACAATGAACTCTAAAATCTTACCAACAACCGAGGTCAGACTAATAGTTTCTTGCCTTTTGCCTCCCTCCTTTCTTAAACAAGGGATTTATATTAGCTATTTTCCAGTCCTCTGGGATCTTCCCTGACTTCAATGATTCCTGAAAGATCACCATCAACGCCTCAACAATCTCCTTAACTATCTCTTTCAGAACTCTGGGGTGTAGTCCCTCTGATTTATCCATCTTCAGACCTCTCAGCTTCCCCAGCACCTTCTCCTTATTCCTGGACAGTATTTGCCACGGAGAAAGACATGGAAGCTAGGAAACTCGGGGAAGTAAGTAGTGATGTCTTGAAAAGATTTCATATTACAGAAGAGGAGGTGCTGGAGGTCTTAAAATATAAAGACAGACAAATCCTTGGGACCTGATCAATTGTAACCCAGGGCATCTTAGGAAGCTAGGGAAGAAATTGTGGGGCCCCAAGTGGAGATAGTTGTACTATTGACAGCCATAGATGAGGTGCCAGAAGACTAGAGGGTGGCTAGTGTTGTGCCATTATTTAAGGTTGCGAGGAAAAGCCAGGGAACTGCAGTCTGGTGAGCCTGATGTCAGTGTTGGTTAGGTTGTTGGAGGGGATTCTAAAATCATGTCTTACAAACTTGATCAAGTATTTTGAAGAGGTTACCAAAAAGATAGATGAGGACAGTGCAGTAGGCATTGTCTACATGGACTTTAGCAAGGTTTGACATGGTTGGGTTTGAAGAGGTTCCACATGGTAGACCGGTTAGTAAGGTTAGATCACATGGGATTCAGGGAGAACTAGCCAATTACATATAAAATTGGCTTGACTGTAGGAGACAGGATGGTGGTAGAGGGTTGTTATTCACACTAAAGGTCTGTGACCAGAGTTGTGCCTCAGGGATTGTTGTTTGGTCCACTGCTGTTCATCATTTATATAAATGATTTGGGTGAGAATATAGGAGGCATGGTTATTAAGTTTGCTGATGACACCAAAATTGGTGGTATTGTGAACGGTGCAAAAAGTTATTTAAGAGCACAATGACATCTTAATGAACTGGGCTAAGGGGCTGAGGAATGGCATATGGAGTTTAATTCAGATAAATGGGAGGTGTTGCATTTTAGTAAGACAAACCAGGGCAGGACTTAGGACCCCAGGATATGTGGTCGGACACAGAGTCCTAGGAGTGCAGGACTGCAGTTACTTGAAAGTGGCAGCACAGGTAGACAGGGTGGTGAAGAAGGCGTTTGGCATGTGACAGCCTAGTGGTATTATTGCTAGATCGTTAATCCGGAGACCCAGGTAATATTCTGGGGATTCTGAATTCGAATCCTACCATGGCAGATAATGAAATTTAAGTTCAATAAAAATTTGGAGTTAAGAGTCCTAACGATCTATTGTTGATTATCAGGAAAAGCTCATCTGGTTCACTAATGTCTTTTAGGGAAGGAAACTGCCATCCTTATCTGGTCTGGCCTATATGTGACTCCAGACCCACAGCAATGTGGTTGACTCATAACTTCCCTCTAGGCAATTAGGGCTGGGCAATAAATACTGGCCTAGCCAGTGATGCCTTTATCCCATGAATGAATAAAAGAAAATTTACAGTTCCTTATTATATAATGATCTCCAGTTTACCTTAACTGTTGGGTAACCACACCAGAGGATGAGTCTCTAAATCACATTGACTGGTATACCCTTTCCCGGTTTGCTATGTAACCTCGCAGCATTTAATAAGCGTCTGGATGAGCACTTAAAATGCCAGAACATAGGCTGTGGATCAAGTGCAGGTAAATAGGATTAGTGTAGTTTGGTGTTTGTTGGGATGAAGGGCTGTTTTTATGCTGTATGACTCTGACTCGATAACACACACCTCTATGTGCCTGTAGGAATTCTTTGACACTTTCCCCCATAGTCATTGTCCCTGGATGAAATGTTTGCAGTGACTACACCAGCTTGTAGTATAAACTGACCAATATCACTGGTGTCTATTCCTGACTCCATCTTCCCCTCCACACACAACAGTTGACAGGATTGAAAAGAAACCTTGGCATTGCATAAGACCTATTCCCATAAGGTTGTCTTCTGAGTTCTCTCCATTAAATATTGCACATGTGTGCTTAAGTTTAATGTGACAGATTTGGAAAGGAGGAGGTGAAACAAAACCTGGGTGTCCTTGTACACCAGTCACTATAAGTAAGCATGCAGGTGCAGCAGATGGTGATGAAGACAAAAGGTTAGCTTTTATAGTGAGAATATTGAGTACAGGGCCTTGGTGAGACTACACCTGGAGTACTGTGTGTAGTTTTGTTCTCCTTATCTGAGGAAGGATGTTTTGGTCATGGAGGGAGTGCAATGAAGGTTTACTAGACTGATTCATTTCTGGAATGACAGGACTGCCATATGAAGAGACTGTATCAGTTAAGACTGTATTCCTTGTAGTTTAAAAGAATGAGTGGGATCTCCTAGAAACTTATAAAATTCTGTAAGGACTAGACAGAGTAAATGTGGGAAGTATGTTCCTGATGACTAGGGAATTTAAAACCAGGAAGCTCAATCTAAGGATACGTGGTAGGCCATTTATGACAGAGATGATGGCTTTCACCCAGAGAGAGATGCGGTTGTGGAATTCTCTGCCACAGAAAGCAGTTGAAGCCAAAACATTGAATGTTTTCAAGAAGGACATAGATATTGTTCTCAGGGTTAAAGGGATCAAGGGTTAGGGAGCGAAAGTGGGAACAGAGTATTGAGTAGCACGATCAGCCATAACTATTGAATGATGATACAAAAGCCTACTCCTGTTCCAATTTCTTCTTTCTAACTCCCTCCTGACTTTCCACCACTGTACCATCACCTCTACTGGGTGTGTACTGCCAGTGGGACATGCCATACACAGGGTGATGGTGTTGTCTGGGATGTTGTCTTTCAGGTATGATTCCATGAATATGGCTATGTCAGGCTGTTGCTTGACTGGTCTGTGAGACAAGCTCTTACCAATTTGGCACTAGCCCCCAGATATTAGCAAGGCGGACTTGGCAGAGTTGACAGGGCTATTGTAGTTTCTCATTCATAGGTCGATCAGGTGGTCTGTTTGGGTTTTTTTGGGGACTTTCTAATGATTATTACAACAAAGTGATATGATAGGCCATTTCAGGAGGGCCGTTAAGAGTCAATTATATTGCTGTGTTACATGTAGTCCAGGTAACAACAGCAGGTTCGTTCCCTAAAAGACATTACTGAACCTCCAAGCTGCGTGCTACCCTGATTTGGAACTATATTGTTGTTCCCTTTCTGTCGTTGACCAAAATCCTGGACTGCCTTTCTAACAGCACTGTCAAAGTCCCTCACTGTCCCCAACAGAGGACTGCAGCACTTCAAGCAGGTACTTCGTTGCCAGTTCAGGGGCTGTTCAGGATGGGTACTGATTGCCAGTCTAGCCAATGATGCCCATGTCTCTTGCAAGTATTTTTTAGAAAATGATGTCGAGATTACAATTAGGCAGCTTGTGTGTGATTTTTCTGAGAATTGGCTGTTTTACAGTCTGTATGGGAATAATTAAGGTCACTGTTCTGATCATTCAGTGAACCTTACAGATAAAGATGTTTGTATAAACTCTTTCTTCTTGTTTACCTATTTAATACTTCAGATGGGGGGTATCTTAGAAAAAATTTCTCTTGCTCACCAATAAGGGTGGCATAACTGATTTCTAAATTTTGTCTTGGCATTCAATGACAGTAACTCTAATGCTTGTTTTAAGTCACTTTTATACTTCTGACACTTTTATTTGCAGGTGGTGATAAACTGTGCCATTCCGAAGGGACTGAAGTATAACCAGGCCACACAGACCTTTCATCAGTGGCGAGATGCCAGGCAGGTGTACGGTCTGAACTTTGGTAGTAAAGAAGATGCCAATGTGTTTGCAAGTGCTATGATGCATGCCCTGGAAGTTCTAAATTCTCAGGATTCAGGTACATCAAAATCTTGATTTTTAAATGATTGTAGTTTCCAAATGCTTTTCTTCTTAGAAGGTCCTTTGGAATTGAGGATGATTTGTTTCAACTCCAGTTTGATGGGTGTGAGGCGGCTAATAGGTCAAACAGACGATCTGTAGACTCTGCCACATATGGTGCATGAATGGTTAGGTGAGTGGGTTATGCGCTTCCTCCTCCAGGACTTTGCTTTCTCATATTCCCAAGCAAGTCTTTTGATGTGTTTGGTACCATCCTCAATCTTCCAAAATTTATGCTATTATTAAACACAGAATTACTTGAGATCTAAAATACTGAAGCAATGGAGAAGGGAGACAGTTACTGGAGTGATTAGAGATGAGATTTGCACGAGAGACCCTAGCTTATTCTGCTGTTGCATTGCTTCAGTAGTTTTGTATGAGAATAGAGAAATTAATGGACAATTCAGTTGAAATTGGCAATTTTTTTTCTGAGCTGATCTTATCCCATTCAAGGTTCGCATGACCCATTTGCATCTTCCAACAGAAGCAAATACGTTCACGAGTGGAAACAGTGGATTGTTTATTTCTCATTACCTTCCCCAGCCCTAAAAAGTTGTTAAGTTGTAAGTTTGCAGACAATACAAAGATTGGGGGAGTTGCGGATAATGAGGAGGAATGTCAGAGGATACAGCAGGATATAGATCAGATGGAGGCATGGGCAGAAAAATGGCAGATGGAGTTTAATCTGGACAAATGTGAGGCGAGGCATTTTGGAAGGTCAAGTACAGGTAGAAATTATACAGTGAATGGCAGAACCCTCAGGAGTATTGATATGCAGAGGGATCTAGGTGTGCAGGCCCACACATCATTGAAGGTGGTTGCACACGTTGATAAGGTAGTAAAAAAAGGCGTACGGCATGCTCGCCTTCATTGGAAGGGGCGTTGAGTTTAAAGATAGACAAGTTATGTTTTAGGATTATAGAACTTTAGTTAGGCTACTCTTGGAATTTTGTGTACAGTTCTGGCCACCACATTATCAGAAGGATGTGAATGCTTTGGAGACAGTACAGAAAAGGTTTACCAGGATGTTGCCTGGTATGGGGGATTTTAGCTATGAAGAAAGGTTGGAAAGACTGGGTTTGTTTTCACTGGAACGCAGGAGGTTGAGGGGCGACCTGATGGAAGTTTATAAGATTGTGAATTGCACGGATAGGGTGGAAAGTATGAATTTTTTTCCCAGGGTGGAGGGTTCAATTATCAGGAGACCCAGGTTCAAGGTGCGAGGGGCGAAGAGATTAAAAGAGATGTGTGAGGCACGTTTTTCACACAAAGTGTGGTGAGTGCCTTGAGCGCGTTGCCAGAGGAGGTGGTGGAAGCAGACACAATAGCAGCATTCAAGAAACACCTAGACATGAATAGGAAGGGAATAGAGGGATATAGATCCTGTAAGTGAAGACAGTTCTAGTATGGAAGGGCAAAATGTGTTGATGCAGGCTTGGCGGGCTGAAGTTCCTGTTCCTGTGCTGTATTGTTCTTTGTTTTAAAAAGGTTCTCCATAGGCACAGGAGTAGGTCATTTGGCCATTTGCAGCTGTTTCACCATTCATTGAGAGCATAGCTGATCTGGCACCTAACTACATCTGGCTGCTTTTGCCCCATATCCCTTGATAGCTTTGATTACCAGAAAACACTTTTTCGCTTTAAAATTAACAATTCACCCAGTAACAATAGCATTTTGTAGAAAAGTGGTACAAACTTCCACCACCCTTAGCATATAGTAGTATTTCCTACCTTCATTCCAGAATGGAGCATGGAAAATTGTGTAAAACTTAGCAGGTCCAGCATGAACTGTTTTGAAAGAAATATACTTAATTTTTTCAGCTCAATAATCTTTTCTTGGCATAAAATGTTATCTCTGTTTCTCTATTCATAAATAGTACCAGATCTTTTGAGTGTTTCTGGGCTCATCTATTGTTATTTCATGTTTTCAGAATCCGTAGTATTTTGCTTTTGTATTTGTGTTCACTTCAGAAAGATCTGGCACTTGTTTTTGGACGCCATCCCTTAGTTCTAGATTCTTCAATCAGCAGAAATATTTTGTATCTGCCCACTGAATTCCTATGTTTCTGAATGCTTGTCACAATTCATTAGACCTTAAGATATAGGAGCAGAATTAGGCCATTCAGTCCATAAGAGCTGCTCCACCATTTGATCATGGCTGATATGTTTTTCAACCCATTCTCCTACCTCCTCCCCCTAATCCCTGATCCCCTTACTGATCAATAACCTATCTCAGTCTTAAATGCACTCAATGATTTGGCCTCTGCAGCAATGAGTTCCACCGAGTCACCACTCTGTGGCTGAGAAATTCTTCCTTATCTTGGTTCTGAAGGCTCATTCCTTCACTCTGAGGCCGTGTACTTGGGTCATGCTGTCTCTCATTAGTGGCAACATCTTCTCCACATCTACTGTATCTAGACCTCTCAGTATCTTCAATCAGATTCACTCCAGCCCCTCATCCTTCTAAACTCCATCGAGTACAGACCCAGAGTTCTCACCCACTTCTCATATGACAAATCCTTCATCCTCCAATCATTCTTGTAAACCTCCTCTGGACCTTCTCCAATGCCAGTATATCTTTCCTTAGATAAGGCGCCCAAAACTGCTCACAGTGTGGTCTGACCAGATCCTTATACAGCCTCAGCAGTATATCTCTGCTGTTGTTTTCTAGCCCTCTTGAAATGAATGCTAACATTACATTTGCCTTCCCATCCACCAATTGAACCTGGATATTAACGTTAAGAGAATCCTGAATTGGGACTTCCAAGTTCTTTTGTGCTTCAGATTTCTGAAGCCTCTCCCCATTTAAAAAATAGTCTATGCCTCTAGTCTTCCTACCAAAATGTATAACCTCACACTTTCCCACATTGTATTCCATCTGCCACGTCTTTACCCACTCGCTTAGCATGTCCTTCTGCAGCCTCCCTGCTTCCTCAACACTCTTTGTCCCTCCACCTATCTTCGTGTCATCTGTAAACTTAATGACAATGCCCTCAGTTCCTTCGCCCACATCGTTAATGTATAAAGTGAATTGTTGTCTAACACTGACAAAACAAATTAGATGAACTGAAACTACAAATAGAAATGAATAAGTATGATCTGGTAGCTATTTCAGAAACACGGCTGCAGGATGACATGAATTGGGACCTGAATTTTGAAGGGTACAGAACATTTAGGAATGACAGGAAACTAGGAAAAGGTGGAGGGTTGCGCTGTTCATTAATGATGGTATTAGCACAACAGTGAGGGATCACCTAAATTTAGGAACAAGATATCGAAATATTTTAGGGGGAAATGAGAGATGATAGAGGCAAGGAGTCATATATAGCAGTGGTGTACAGACCCCCTAGCAGTAACCACAGGGCAGGTTGGAACATAAAGAAATAAACAATGAAAACTTGTTAGAAGGGCATGGTGATAAATTTGGAATTTTTTAATGTATATCTGGACTGGAACAATCAAATTAGCAAGACAGCCCAGAATATTTCACAGAATATTTTCAGGAGAATTTATTAGAACAGTATGCTCTGAAACCCAACATATAGCAGGCTAAACTAGACCTTGTAATCTGCAAGTCTCTTATAGGCCCCAGTCTTTCCCTGGCAGTCCTCTTTCTCCTAAGATGCTAATAAAATACGTTAGGGTTTTCCTTAATCCTATTTGCCACTTTCATGGCCCCTCTTTGACCTCCTAATTTCTTTTTTAAGCAACCCCATGCACTATACCTTTGAAAGGCCTCGTCTAAGCTGAACTCAATTCTTCTGAAGTAAACTGTTAAGCCTGTTATCAAATGAAATGCCTAACTGGGGTAGAGCACTGGGAATCAATTCTTGCTATTTCTGGAGTCATAACAAAAGTTAAAGATTTTTTAAAGTACACAGAATTCCACAATATACTTGACTTTCAAACCAGGTTGACACAGAAGACAGAACAGGTTACTATACATGTTCTGTAGCATCACGGTGAAGCAGTCTGGGAAGTGTGCCTGACTGTCAGCATTGCAGTGAAGCAATCTGGGAAGACTGCCCTGCAGCAGCATTGGACTGAAGCTGTTTGGAAAGAGTGGGCTGCAACAGCACTGCAGTGAAGCAGTTTGGGAAAAATATCTTGCAGCAGCATTTCAGTGAAGCACACTGCACAGTGTCATAGAGCAGCATTGCAGTGAAGCAGTCTGCTCAGAGTGTTGTAGAGCAGCATTGCAGTGAAGCAATCTGGGAAAAGTGCACTGCAGCAGCATTGCAACAAAGCAGTCTGGTAAGAGTATCTTGTGATTTGATTTGATTGGTTTATTGTCACTTGTACAGTGAAAAGTTTTGTTTACAGGCAGTACAGGCAGATCATGGTAAGCAAGGACACACATTTCATAGGAAAGAAACTAGCCGGAGGTATACAAGTTACATCGCACAGGGCGTACACTAGGCAAGATCAACATTAGCAAGATCAGCATTACTTGAAGTTAGGGAGTCCATTATTCAGTCTAATAATGACAGGGAAGAAGCTGTTCTTGAATCTGCTGGTGCACGTATTCAAGCTTCTGTATCTTCTGCCTGACGGAAAGAGGTTGAAGGAGTGCATTGCGGGTGCGATGGGTCTTTGATAATGTTGGCAGCCTTTCCATGGCAACGGGCCATGTAAATGGTGTCCATGGATGGAAGGTGGGCTTCCATGATGGTCTGGGCTGTGCACACCACCTTCTGTAGTTTCTTACGGTCCTGGGCAGAGCAGATGCCATACCAGGCCGTTATGCACCCAGACAGTATGCTTTCAATGGTGCATCTGTAAAAGCTGTTTCATGGGCCTTGTTGTTATGTGAAATCTCCTGAGCCACCTGATGAAAAAGAGGCATTCGCATCTATGTGGGTAGTCCAGGACAGGCTGTCAGTTATCGTCACTCTGAGGAACTTGACATACTCTACCCTCTCAACATCAGCTCCATTGATGTAGATAGGGGTGTGTCCTC